TAAGATATATATATATATATATATATATATATATAAATACAGATGGATTAACTTAAACCAATTAACTCACAACCTTTATTGTTAAGTTAATGAGATCAAGTCAATTAACTCAGAAAAACATTGACTGGTTTTCAACTAAATTGTAAGAATATATATATATATATATCCAAAACAATTATATTCCTTTAACTAGATTTTACTAGAAATGTAACGACAATATATGTTAATCCAGCTTTCTATCATAAAGTAACAGAGTTTGATGGTTGATTCAACATATTGACAATTAAGTTCGGTCAATTAAGTTTTTCATAAACATCTAACATAAACCGTAATCTAAGCAATTTCTTGAATCAGTATATGATCTTTGAAATATTTTGTTAAGTTCATGTGGCCATAGTAATACATGTTATTGAAATATTAATGCCTAATAAAATTATTCAATTGAGAGAAACAACATTCTATGCCCTATATTAGTCCTAAGACTTCAGATTGTATTAGACAGACATGCATACAATCAGGTCTTGACATCAGAATTACAACTAGTAGAAACCAGGCATAACTTTGAAACAATATGCTAGTAAGATCAGCTTTTAAACCCTAGAATATGCAATAAACTCGCAGACAAATGTTTATGTTTTAAGAGGACGCTCTAACCACAAGAATGTAGTATACAGTTTGACATGCGAACTTTAGGATTCTGCGTACGTCGGTGAAACAGACGGAACTATTAGGGATAGAATTAGCGAGCAACTTCGAGACGATGCATACATTAGACAGTACAGCCAGTGCTGTGGCTTAATGGCTTAACATTTTGTGACTGATATTGATTGTCTCATAACAGCAAACATTCTTACCCATTGCCACAGAGTTTTAAATAGGAAATGTAAAGAAGTCATAATAATTTCAAAAATAAGCAACAGTTAAAAAAATTCACCCTGGAATTGTTAATTTTTGATGTTTCACTGTTTGTATTTAATTAGTGTAATTACATATTTTATGTGTGATTTAATAAGTATAATTTTATCCGTTTGAATGCGCTTTCAAGCTGTTTATATATTCTCGGGCAAAGTCCACATTACTGAATAGATTCGAATTATTTTAAAATAGTTTGTATAAACCTAAATCAGTTAGCAAATGTCTTGTTGTTCCGATGAAGCCGTAATGACGAAAAGTTCGCTTAACTAAAACCAGTTTTGTTTTCTGGAGTAATAGGTCGTGTTTATTTTTCTTTTCACCAATGAATAGAACTTTCCAGTTTGCACTACAAACTTTAAACTCGCATAATTTTAGCTTTCTATTGACAAAACGAATGGTAATTTAAGTCTAACGAAAACAGGAGAGACAAAGCAATGTATATGATTCCCTTGGAAACTACTGATAATTCACTATAACATCTCATCAATTAAAGTCTCCCTGTTCAATTACTGTCATTGTTGCTTTCCTGAAAGCAATAACTCTGTCGTCTGACCAGTTAAACATGGAATGCATCTAGTAATGTATTTAACAAACATATTAGCAGAAGCTTGTAGATATAGTTTTAAGGTGATGACTACATTTACAAAGTTAACTTACTTACACACTGGCTTTGCAGCATAAGTTTGATGAAATGGCCAGTAAAATATTTTACATGGTTTGAACCCAATAATTGAGAAAATCTGCAAGCTGCTTGGGTGAAGTGTGCACTCACCTTGTTGTTCTAGATTGGTTTACTGTAGCTACCAAATGTTTGTGGTAACGAATAACTTCTAGAACTAGTACGATACAGAAAAAAATGCAATACATTATTTTATACAATAAATGAAAATTACTCATCAAAATTGACGTCAGCTTATGACGAATTAGAAACTTTGTAAAGTAAGCCAAATTAGATGGAATACAAAGTGAATAGGAGAAAACATAAACTTGCGATCTTTTAGTTATATATCGCTTGAAAGTACTTTGATATTGTGTGCAAAACAAAATTTGCTCTTTAGCAATTCAGCACATAGACTCGAATATCTTGATATTCATTGGTACTAAATATTGCCAAGTGAGCTTCGTTAATTATTTTTTGGCTGGTTAACGAAGTATGAAATGAGTATCTGAAGAGTTCGACAGTACGCAGCGTTTAGACACTAGCATCTCTTCACGATCTACAATTATTGCTTTTTTTTTACCCTAAGGCAGTCGACCTTTTGCAGATTGTCCTTCTTGTTGCATCAGTCGAATATTTAAATCTCAACAAAGCTTGTAATAATTCTTAACCGTGACATTTTAAAGAAAACTAAGTGCTATCAACTTGGATTAATTATTCTACATGAAGTTCGCTTCTGCTTGTCGAATAACCTAGCCATCCAATACGACTACTCCCATGTACTTTCCAAGCTCAGCCTCAATGTTCTTAAGAAGATATAGCATAAACATATTTCTTAATAAAAATCTAACGATCCAAGTTTGTTTGCTGTTGAGCACAAAGCTGCTCTGGGCAGTATGCGTTCTCCTTACTGCAGAATCGACAGTAAGATTTCTAGCATTATAAGCATTCAAGATCACCACAGCAACCAAACTGTGAACGATTTAAGAAAAGCATTTTCTTCTCAACGATAATGCATGTACAGTGCCTTGTAAAATTATTACTTCCCTGCAAAGTTCCATATTTTGTTGCCATCTCAGCTTGCAATCATGAAACTTTCAAATTGGACTTTATATTTAGAATCTACACAACGTACTATAAATTAAGGAATCTAAAAAAAACAAACAAAAAATAAACGCTGATATTATGTAAGTAAGATAGATTTCCAAAGAAAATTAGAATATTCTCAATTGCATAAGTATTCAATCCCTTTGCTACGGCAACCTTAAATTAGTTCAGGTGCAAAAGTTACAAAATTAGTGTAATGGTCTCTGTTTGTGTGTAATCAAAGCGGTTTAACTTGACTTCAGAGTCGCTGATTATTTTTGAGTACGGTGAAGTGCACCATTAAGAAGGGGAATGTACTTCATACCGCTCAGTCGCTACCCAGATCAGGCAGCCCTTACTAAGCAGTCGGGAAAGCAGGAAACTCGTTAAGGATTCCACTGTGAAGCCAACAGTAACTTTGAAAGATTTGCAAAGTTCCATGTCTGAAATAAGAGTTAGTGTTCATACATCGACAATATCCCGATCGCTACACAAAGCTGGTCTGTATGGGTGAGTGGCAAGAAAAAAGCCGTTACTGAAAAGAGAATAATCTTAAATCTCGTATGAAGTTTGCGACAAAGCATGTAAATTATACTGCAGACATATGGCAGAAGGTTGTGTAATCAGACGAGACAAAAATTGAGCTTTTTGGCCTAATTTAAACGATTATGTCTGGCGCAAGCTCAACACAGCACATCATCTAGTCAACACCATATCAACTGTGAAGCATGATAATGGCAGCATCATGTTATGAGGATACTTCTCATCAGAAGGGACTGGGAAGCTTGTCAGAATTGAGGGGAGGGTGGATGGTGAATCCTGGAGGAAAAACTGCTCGAGTCAGCCAAGAATCTAAATCTGTGTCGAAAATTCATATTTCAGCAGGACAATGACCCGAAGAACAAGACCAAAGCCACACTGGATTGGTTTCAAAAGAAGAAAGTGAATGTTCCGGAGTGACCCAGATAAATTCCTGACTTGAATCCAACAGAAAATTTATGGCGAGACTTTAAGATTGCAGTCCATCAACGAACCCCAACGAACTTGTCAGAATGGGAGTAATTTTGGCAGAACGAATGGGCAAAAATTACACCATCCCATTGTGCAAAGCTGGTAGAGACATATTCAGAAAGACTCACAGCAATAATTGCTGCCAAAGCTGCTTCCACCAAGTACTGAGTTGAGGAGCTGAATACTTAAGTAATCAGCAACTTTCAATTTATATATTTTCTTTGCATTCAATCTCCTTTACACTTTACTTAACAGTGTTAAGTTTGCTCATTAGAGTTTTGAATTTGTATTTCATCAAAATGTGACATTATTGAAAGGGGTGAATAATTTTGCAAAGCACTATAGTTTTATTTTAGAGTTTTACTTCTCACTAAAAAGTAGACACTATATCGAGCGAGACTAGATGCGAACAGAAAAAGTGATCCAAATCATTTGATCCTTTTATTAACTACGACATCTGGGAATATTCATCCCGACAGACACGTAAAATACAAAAACATCTTATAAAGACGAATTTTATTTAACATTGATAATCTTATTTTGAAAAAAGTCCATTGTAACAATAAGAACATTTGGTTTGAGTAATATAAAATGCTTCATTATATAACTTTGCTAAAATTTATATCAGATGGGTGTTTCATGCTATGTTTTATTTATTGTGTGCAAATATAATAACTGTCTGAAATAACATTATTTTGAATCTTTTTCCCACTGAAATATTCCTAAAATTTATATCAGATTGATGTTTCATGCTATGTTTTATTTTATTGTGTGCAAATAAAATAATTGTCTGAAATAAATTATTTTGAATCTTTTTCCCGCTGATATATTCCTAAAATTTATATCAGATGGGTGTTTCATGCTATGTTTTATTTTATTGTGTATTGTAGAAATTCAGATGATAAAGATAAAAATGTTTCGATAAAAATTAAATTGAAAATCATTAAGAGCTGAAGAAGAGAAGATTCTTTAAAACACTGTTAAGAAATAAAAAAAATACTATAAATATTTTTTGCTTATACTCAACTAATATTGAATAGTATCTTGTTTTATACTGAAGATTATATTATTTTTTTAAATAATATATCATATCAATTAATTATATGTAAGTGTAAAAACAGGATATTGAGGAAAAATCTATAAATAAACCGTTTTTACTTTCGTATCATTTCAACTCACTTTGTTTTATTAACAGTCTAACAATGTATCAGTAAAACCGTTTTGTCGCGTTTTCTTATTAATATTCCATAGTAAGAAAAATTTAAACTATTTTAGTGACTTTATGTAAAGACCCTTTATTTCTTAATAACCTACTATATTTCAGCTGAAGCGATTTAACCATTATACTCCTTAAAAAACATTACACGTATGTAGCAATGAGAACACCAGAAGGAACAACATACGCAATGGCCTCGATCATATCTAATCCCATTTCCACACAACACTGAGCATGGTCTGATCGTGGTTCGGGGAGTCCACTAACACAGTAGTAACAATCTCCAAGAAGTTTGATCCTTAGGCAGTGATTGTCCTGTAAACAAAAGAAAAAAAGGTGAGTTTTTCTATTGTATACCTGATAATTTTTAGGCATCGTTTATTGTTACAAAACTGTTTGGTGCCGTCTCCATATCGGTTATTGTTACAAAACTGTTTGGTGCCGTCTCCATATCGGTTATTGTTACAAATCTGTTTGGTGCCATCTCCATATCGGTTATTGTTACAAAACTGTTTGGTGCCGTCTCCATATCGTTTATTGTTACAAAACTGTTTGGTGCCATCTCCATATCGGTTATTGTTACAAAACTGTTTGGTGCCATCTCCTAATCGTTTATTGTTACAAAACTGTTTGGTGCCGTCTCCGTATCAGTTATTGTTACAAAACTGTTTGTAACAGTTTATTCCTTCCAAGCAATTAATTTTTGAAAGGAGTAAAATAATGAAAACATATTGGTTTTTAATATATAATATATACTTTATAATGTTGTACATTGCTGTAGTGGAAGAAAATGCATTAGAGAATTCGAAAGATGGGCGAAATAAAAATCAAACTTAAGGAAAATTGACGACTTTTTAAGCATATTGTAACTCTACATTAATTTTTAACGTAACTAAAGTGTGAGAAAAAAATAATAAAAATCCACTAAAGATAGGGTTTCGATACTCAGTGGGCACAGCACAGATAGCCCATTATGACTTTGTGCTTTTCAAAAACAACAACAAAAACAATAAAGAACTAACAGAATGACATCATTGTACCTAACTTTTTCATTGTAGGTTTTTAATAATTATATTAAGACGCTTTGTTTAAATCTCTTACATTAGTCTAAGTCTTCAGAATGGATAATGATTGTTCATTGTTAGGAGAATATAGCTAAACTATCATAACCCGATTCATTTTATTTATTTATTTTTCCTGTTGCTTCGACTTACGTTTTCTTTAAGAGTTTTTGCTAGGGAGCTCGTCTCGTAATCTGAGGGTCGCGGGTTCGAATCTTTGTCCCACTAAATATCCTCGCCCTTTCAGCCGTGGGGGCGTTATGACGTGACGGTCATTTCCACTATTCGTTGGTAAAAGACTATCCCAAGAGTTGACAGTGGGTGGTGATGACTAGCTGCCTTTCTTCTAGTCTTTCACTGTTAAATTAGGGACGGCCAGCGCGGATAGCCCTCTGTAGCTTTGCGCGAAATTACAAACAAACAATCTATGTTTTCTTTTATTAGTTATTAATCCACCCCCTCTCAAAATACTTTTCCTGAGATGCACGAGACTTTTATAAAATCACACATGAGTATATATTTGAACGCAATCATTAAAATGTAGTTTTATACCAGTTTTACATGTCCAAATATTATCTTGACCGTCAACTCCCCCCCCCCCCCCCAATATCGTTCGAATTCAAGTAGTTTTCATAGTCATTGAAAATGTATAATAATAAATCATTAAAACGAGATACTATAGAATTATGGAATTTTGTTAATTATTTTTTACGCCACCAAATACTTCAAAAGGCCAAAATTATTTAGTGGGATTTCAAAAGAGGTGTGACAAACCAATCTTGATTCACAACGGAATAAGAAAATCTAAAATATTCAAGTATTTCTTGGTTTATTTTCTAGAAAAATAATATAGAGTGTATTGTTCTATTAGCACAGTTTCGTGAGATCCGTGGTTTTTAATTTGCTCACTAATTCGTTATTAAAGTGATCAAACTGGGTGGAATGAAATAAAGCTGTAAAAACGTTAAAGACGACTAGTTTTACTAGGAGTTTAGTGTAGTAAACTGTTTTCAGAAGAAAAAGCAACCACTTGTTTTCTTTTTTCATCGATTGAAAGGCTTTCGAGTGTTTGCATCAGGTTAGCATGAACGTTTTTTGGAGGCGTTTCAGAAATATTCTTCGTGACAAATTACGTGTAGAGCACTAATACATTCTGCATATGAAATACAATGTCGGCAAACTAGAAAAAGCAATAAAACTGTAGTAACAAATGCAAAATGGTTCAATATTCTTGTTGAACCTGAAAATTTCTAAAAGAAAAAAATATGTTTTGAAACTTGGAATAAAGCACCTTTTTACTATAAAGACACAAAAAAGATAAAATACTACTTTGTCATGATACAAAAGACTGTTCAGTGTAGATATTGTTAATTTATTTATTTTGTGAGTGAATATTTTATGGTTGTTAACTTGTTCATAACAAGAGAGTTAGAAGCAATTATTTTAAAGTAAATGTTATGACAGGTTTAGTCATGTAATTCGGTAAGAGTCGTACCTTGTGTTTATAACTTATTGATGTCGAGATTATAAAACGTCACGTGAAATTTATTGATGTCGAGGATATAGTGAGGAGACGATTAAGTAATAAACATATAAATAGTGTGAGATGAGCCAACAGACAAAGACAGAGCAGACGAGAAACAAAGTAAAGTTACGAGAAGGAGTTCGGCCAAAGAAAAGTTAAACGCAAAGTTAATCGTCGTAGGAGTGAAAGGCCTAACGATTAATATAGGCCTAATGGTTGATATATATTAGAGTGAGACTAACGGTGTTGAAGAAGATAAGAAGAGTAGTTTATTTCGTCAAAGAGAGTTGTAAAGTAATTGAACTAGCCTCAGTGGACTTTTATAAATAGGCAGACAATTCTCGGAAATACACAGAGAGAAAAAGGAGCAGACAATTTTAGAAGTATAAGATACAACCATAGTAACTCGACGAAACGTAAGTGAACTACGCTCGGATAGTTTGGTGTGAAAAATTGTTCGGCTTGAAAAGGCTTAAGTGGACTTTGGACAAGAAGAAGAGAACTATATAGTGTTTATGATATCCCTATGATCATCTACAGTGTAAAGAATTTCTTGTACATACGATGAACTAGTTTCGAATATATATATAATTTTGAAAACAAGTGAAGTGATTGCTGTTCGTTTATTTTTTTTAATTTACCGCCAACAAGTCACACACACCTACTGTAGAAGAATGTTAAGCCCAATTGACAATTGGCGAAAATTATTTCCTAACATACATTTATATTATATCTTAAATTAGAAAAGGTACCCAGCAATGCCGGGCTTAAAACGAAACGCAATAATTCGGGGAGTGAGCCATTCTCTTCCACTATTTTAAGTCGGACCACACGAACTGTTGGCATGGTACGAAGGTATCTGTGATATGTGAGGCCTTTCATTCGCCGTCCATGTCACGTGTTTTATACCGATTTCAATGGTTAACTGAACTGTCATTCACAGCATTAAGGCGGTTAAAAACTGGCTGCCAAACTTGAAACATTCGTCCGACTGCTTATCGATTCAAAGTAAATCTTTAAGGGATCCACTTGAGTTTCTCTACCAAGCCCCCCTCCCTAGTGGCACAGTGGTATGTCTGTGGACTTACAACGCTAGAATCTGGGTTTCGATACCCGTGGTGAGCAGACCACAGATAGCCCATTGTACAATTTTGTGTTTAATTACAAACAAGCAAACAATCCTCTACCAAATATCATCGAAATTGATGTAGCTATTCGAAACAACAACTTGCGACACTAGGGACAAACGAACAACACTACTTTACATGTATAGAATAAGAACATTTTCATGCAAATTTATCGAGTATCTCATTTTGTTGTACTGCTTCAAGTTACTGTGAATTTTGTCATTAACTTTTAACTTTATTTCTAAACTTATTTGACATACTGATTTTAACTCGTCACTATACTTCATATTAAAGTAAAACAATGATGTTTTCTATGTTGTATGCTACTACATTTGCCATGCTATCTCTTATTTTCTGAAAATGATGTAACTATCGATATAAGATTTTGATCTGTAACTCCTAACTTGTCCTTATATAACTTGTTCCTACTATTTGGTTATACTTTTCTATACGTTAAGATTGCTCTTTATGCATGCTTATACCTTTGTATATACGGATATTATATTTATGATTCAATAACTAGATTTCTGCCATATCTGTCACAAACTAAAAACTCTGTGTACTGCCATTATAGTTTTCGTTCAGTGCCCAGTGTTCTATCACAACCGATGCTCCTTTTTTAAATAGGTATTTTGCATATTATCATTATGTTCATGGTTCAGTTTTCTGAGTGTAGTTCGAATTTAGTTTTCACCATATTCGTCTATGTTTAATTTGAAGTGGAAACGATATATCTATACAAGATTAGTAAAAATTGATAGTTTAAAAAAGGGGGAAATGGAATTATCAAAAAAAGTATAGAAGCAAGTTGAATCAAACTCCAAGTATTGTATTTTCAAGCCTACAACTAGGTAATCTAAAAAAATAAACAAACAAGGCTGGGAATAGCGTCTACATCATTTTCACGAGCTACAAATCCCTATTTTGACTCCATGTCTAAAGTAGAGTCAAAATCGAGACTTGTAGCTTAAAGAAATAATGTAGACATTATTTCCAGACTTGTTTGTTTACTTTTTTTAAGAGTCCATAGTTGTAGGCTTGAAAATATAATCATTGCATTTTGATTCAACTTGTTTCTAGATTATTTTGACGATTCCTATTCCTTCATTTTAAATTATCAATTTATGCTAATCTTATTTTTTAAGTTTTATGTCCATATGCATTCAGTTGAATGTTGCATATTTTTCAACAGTTTACTGCTGCATTGGCTTCTTTCTATCCAACCACCACACTAAAGTTATTCAAAATAAATAAAAAATGTACAACAAAGAATAAACACATGTACTGGTATGCAACTACAGCAAACAAAGTGTAAAATTATTCTCAAACAACTATCTTGAAGACAAAGACTGTATCATCACAGATTTAATGACCGGCTTTCATCAATGTCACAGTGTAATGTAACAAACGACGAGCAGCAACATAGCAATCTCATCAGAATGGAATAATATTTTCTATAAGATAATACAACACCTATTAATGCATTATAAACAGACGTAAGTAACATGCTTACCTTGCCTGTTGTACAAAGTGTTTGCAATAATTAGGCGACACAAATAATTTATGCAAAATAGATAACAGCGAAACAGCATAAGTCACCAA